CTCGCCTATCAGTTGCCCTACAAACAACCACGAAAAGGGTTGACTCCTTTTTTGGCACGGCTATTGAGCTTTGAATCTTAATGAAGAATACCCTCCCAAATGCTTTGTGACCGCAAATCTCCAAGTGTCCCCCAAAGGGTCGAGCCCAGTGTCCCATGGCCAAGTGAACCTGGAAGTCCCTTAAGAGAACTGAGTGTCAAAGCTGTTGCTCCTGAAAGCCCTTGATCCGTCAGTTGGCAAAAGTGCCCTGTAGTAGATACATGACCATTCGACGCAAGTGGCCTTTGCACCTCTTCAGCTTCCCGCCACGCCACCGAGATCCCCCTCAGGCAACCAGCCCTCGGCCCCCCAAAAAACAGATCTCACAGGCTGGGACCCCGGTTTAGACCATCCCTGGAATTCCGTCCGAGTCTATTCCACCACAGCCCCACCCTTGGTTGACGTTGGAAGGGGAGCAAAAAGTTGAACTTCGGCAGTGAAGTGGGGATTTCAACCACTAAACCACAAGAAGCAAAAATGTGAAATGTTTCCCAACAACAACCATGTAACTCCACCCACCTCGCCTTGAAGAAGACGAAAGGCCCCTCCGCCCGCAGCAGCGCTCCGATGGACTGCTGACCCCCCTCCGCGCTCATGGCCTCGGGATCAGAAGCGGCGGACGGGGGCCGGTGGGCTGTTGGACTCTTGATGGAAGAGAGAAGGCACCAATATGCGCACTATATATACATAGTGTGTGTATATATGTATATATGTCTATATATATATATATATGTAGATAAATATTGTATATATATATATATATATTTATTTATACATATTGACATACATATTGACATACACACATAGGCGTCTTTAGGTTGTCCCCCGAACGCCCGAAAAAACAGGCATTCCTTGGTCAAGCCAACGACCGCGCACCTCCAGAAATTGACCCCAGGCCGAGTTGAAAACAGAACCCCCTTTTGGGGAAAGCAGCTCGACCCCAGACAGATGGGGGCTGTGCACTCCGCAGGTGTCGCGCCTGGGTCTTCAGCACGTCCACTGGGGCGGTGACCTCGGGGTAACGGGGTATATTCCCATGGCTGTTGGCCTTGTTACAGGCTTCTTAGAGTGGGTTCCAGCAATGTGTCCAACCTTTCAAGACGGTTCAGCACTGAGGCAGCCTTTTGAGCGTGCTCGAAAGGCCCGATCGGAGGTTCTACCCCTGGTCTGGTCACAGGCTTGTTTACCCTTCAGCAAGGCATCAGGGGCCACATGTCAGGATAAGGGACCTTCCATGTTGTGTTGGCAAGAGCCTATGCGTCCTCTGAGGGAAAACATGGGCCACTCCTGAAACAATAGAACCTATCTTGTTCCAGTGGAATGCATCTGAAGCAAACTGACCTAGGAAGGACACCTATACCATTTGCGATTCACTGGGTGCATTACAGTGATCGTGGTGAGAGGCTCTGTGCAAACAACTGTGATTCTTAGCTCCAGAAATGTCCACCCGGGTAAAAGAAACAGCGGCCGTGGTGGCACAACCTCTCCCGAAACTGATCTTTGCAAAGCATCGGGAAGCGGCCAAGTCCTGAGGCGCTTGTTCTGCCTTCGGAACCCCCCGACGACTTGCAGCCTGGGGGCCTGTCGCCTTCGTCGCTTCCGCTCCCTCCCCGCTCCGTTTCACCCCGCTCGCTCGAGGAAAAAGCGAGCGAGCTCCCGCGCTGGAACAAGGCGCCGTGGTGGTCACCACACCGGCAGCCAGGCTGGCTGCGACGTGAAGCGCAGCTCCTGAGAGCAGAGACGGGTCCTTTCGTCGAGGCAGGTCCTTTCGGTTTTTGGGGGGTTGGCTTGCCAAACCCTCGGAAAACTGCAGGAAACCCTGGAAAGCCAAAGGACGCCATAGAATTTGATGGATTCACCCTCAAATATCAAACGATAAGGTCGGGAAAGGGACGAAGTGCCAGAAGAGGGGTCCTGAAATAAGAAAACCCCAATACCAGGCATCCAAAAAACCAACGTCGGGTCTCTGAACTGGGTTGCGCCGGCAGGGGTTTTATTGAAAATCGACTTGGGTTGCCATTCCGATGCTTTTTCTCCAGTACGTTGAGTTCTCACCAAGGCAGAAGTTGATTGAATTCCCGCTCTCCCTCTGGACATGCACTTCGACGTTCCCACCCCACCCCCGAAAACCCACGGCTCCAGGCATGCGCGGGGTCCAACGAAAAAATACGGCCAGTGGGCCAAGCAGTAGATCACATCAGCCCTGGACAGAGATACTTCTTTCTCAAAAGGACCCGTGGAAATTGGGTGCGGTGCCTTGTTTGTGTGCAAAGCTTGGGCCTGAATCCCCAAACCAATCAAATGAGTGGCAAACTCGCACAGAAAGTGGCAACCAAAGCCAAGAATCCTCATTCATGTGCCCACTTGCCTGTTGGAGACCTTGAGGGAAACTAATTCGTCTGCCGCCCTTCGTGGGTCAAATCACGTGGCCTCCCGATGCACACTCCTTCGGGGACGACGCTCTGCAGTGCGGACTTTGCGTGCGCCTCGCTCTGCGTTTCGAGGGGGGGGCCGGCGTTTCGACGCTTTTCGGGGCTGTGACCCACCCTATATTGATGGTTTGGATTGGTCTGCGTGATAAGTAGGGGGCCTCGAAACGTTCCCAGACTGCCTACCCTTTTCGGTCTCTTTGAAGGAAAACAATTATTCTCAGCTGTTCAGCCCCCGGTAGTGGTTTAGAGTTGGGGAATTTTTGTGCACTTTACTCCACTTGGGACCAAACTACCCATCAATCCAAACCAGCGACAGCAGGGATACCCTGGAGATCAAGGGCGAAAGCCTCTGTACTTGGCCGTGGTCTAGCGTTTTACACGCAATCACAAAAAAAGAGACAAGGGTGATGGTTCAACGGGCCTGCCCAAAGGTGGACAAGGCAGAACCCAAAGAATGTCAGATCCGGCGGATAACTGAGATGCGCCCCCCAATCGCCTGTCCCGTTCCAACCGCAAAATGGGGGGGGGTCCTCCCTCCGAAAACGGGCGAGACCGAAAAAAGGGGTCCCGCTCCAACCACCAAAACCGGGTGGGAGGTGCCAAGCGCAAAGAACCGGGCGCCAGCCCACAAAATCTGTGGCTTGAAGGGGGGGGTCCTCGCACATCGGTCCAAAGGAAACCATCGTCCCCAACGCGTCGCAGGCGCGTAGGGCACCACCTGGCTGGCGGTGAGCAGAGCGCTCCGTGAGGCCGCCCAGCCGAAGCCCCGCAGCAGCGCTCTGGGGCCCTCTGCCGCCAGCAGCGAGCGGAGCACCTGACACGGCTTGACAGGTGACTGCCCCAAGTCACCCCAAGGGGTTTAAAGGAAACAAACCCAGATGACTTTGAAACGCTAGAGAAGTCGAAAGAATGACCCCAGTTGAAACAACTGTTGAGACATGGGTGTGTGTGTGTGTGTCCAAGGAACTATTCTGCAGTTCGGTGTCCCGCCCCTTGTTGAATATGAAGGCCAACCTCCCAACGTTTTCTCAGGGGTGTCCGTCAGTCCCTCTGAACAAAAAAACATATAGACGAAGAAAAAGAAGAAACAAAACAGGAAAAAAACAGGAAACAAATAAGAGAAAAAAGAAGAAAAAAAACGTTGCGCCTGCCAGGCGCCCACGTGCCCGGCGTTTCCTTTCGAGGTGCCAGTCGCCTGCAGCCGCACCTTCAGCACCTGGATCCGCACTGGTTCGAGATTCGAATCTGAGGGTTATCCACATCCATCAATGGCGTCCCCCGAACACTACTGGTATTCTTGCTCACCAAACCTCATCTTAAGTGGAAATCACCGGAACAACGGCCCTCTGGCGAAACGGATCCAGTTTCTCGCGAAATGCAAAGAGCAAAGAGGCAAGACAGGAGCAAAAGTGGAGGGTCCAAAGGTACAAAGAAGGAAACCGAAAGGGTATCGGGGTTTAAAGAATTAGAATGGCGTGAAACTAAATGAAGTCATGACTGTAGCAGCTGTTTGGTTGAGGGACTTGTCACCCCCCCTTGTCAACCGACTCCCTCCCTCAAAAAACAAAAATACATGTTGGGTTTCCACCGTCTGCCACCTTTCCCCCCGCTGCCTCCAGGTTTCAACCATGGTTTTGGTGCGAGAACGGTAACACTGACGTCCAAACACCTCTCTCTGATGTACGCTTGCCGACTTAATCTCGACTTTTTGGGCTTTTGCTAAAATCATATTTATTTTTCGAAACCAGTATCCTTCCACCCGACACCAACTCTTTCGTGACTGGGTCTATTCAATCGTTCTCCTCAACTTTATTTTCCCCCCTCACACACAAATGGTGATTGAAAGGGAGTGCACCTTGTTTGAACTGGCCTACGTCTGACAACGCATTGACTCGACCGTCCGCAGACTCTCCGGCTTCTGCTTGGAAAACAGGAGAACAAGAAAAACAAAACGAAAACCGGTTGTAAGCCTCAAAACTTTGCAAACCACATGAAGCCACAAGCCTTGGCGCGACTCAACTTCTCCACCTCCTAAAAACCCCACTGCGCCGTCCGCCCCTCAGAGGCCTCCAGAGGGTTGCCCAGCACCGTGGCCGCCACCCCGGCCGCCGCCGCCCCAGCGCCGGCGGAGCCGCAGGCCGCCTGCAGCGGCTCGCAGAGGCCCAGCCGCAGGCCTCGGCTTCCCAGCCCCGGGGGGCAGATGGAGTTAGACATGGCCTCTCCCGTCCGCATATTGCCATCCGGTCCTGGGGTCCCCCACACGCTTTTGGGCACATTCTGAATACGCCCACCAAAACAACCCATGTTCAACCTTAAAATCCAATCACCCAACCAATCGAACACTAAAAAAACACATATTTATCATTTCTTACCCCATCTCAACATCACCCCTACGCTCATTCAATAAAAACAATCAGAACTACATACCACCTCAACAAATCCCACCCGAAAAATCCAAGCTACATACCAACATTTGTTCATTTCTACGATCACAACCCCAAGATCTCAATAATTTCTCCCTTGATCCAACTTGACACCCTTACCCATTTCCAACAAATCAGAACAGTCTAAAAAACAATCCTATGTTCACCCCAAAAAGTATGAGTAGGAAGGGATCATCCACCCCAGCAATGGCCCAAGAATGAAAAAAGGCGAGGAGATCCTGATAGAATTTGGTTCAAGCTTTGGAAGGGTTGTAAACCATGACCGCGTTGTAAATTTCGCGGCTATTTCCACCCCTACATCACACATTGACTGCGGGTCGCAAGCGCCTTTTCCGCACACTTCTCGATCAAGGCGTCTTGAGAGCCTCTTCCCATGTTTTGAGATGGATGAGGGCATCTGGCATGTCAACATTCAGCCGCCCCTTTGAGACGGAGACTTTCGCGTCCTTCAATTTCGGACATTCTGGGCAGGTGAAAGAGACAAAGCAAACACTCAAACACCTTCTTGACTTCTTTGGACCTCTTCTCACAAGCGCCAACGATGTTGCCAACATCGCTCCATTGAGCAGACCTGTGCTGTTTGCCGACAGTTTCCTGAAACATGAGCAACTGGCAAGAGTTGCCATCCTCGCACTGAACCATCCCAAACATGTCAATCGACCCATAGTTGACAGGGGCTTTCAGCAGAGCTCCATCCTCAAGTTTGGCCTGCATCGAAGTCTGGTTCTTCACATCGCTTCGCTCAAAAGTGCCAGCCTTTTTGAACGAGCCCTTCATCTCAAACTTGTCCAATGTGCAATGGTTGCCTTGCACCAACTGTGCATATGCCCACTCCTCGAACATGCGCCCAAAGGCTTGCATGGCAAATGGGTTCTTCATCTGGGCAAAGTTGCTATGCTCGTGCAGACTTGCATGCTGGGCCTTCTCAACGAAGAACTTGGCCACAAACTTTGAGATGAAGCTCTTCGTACCCCACAAGCTTCCTTCGTTTTCGATGTTCATGACTTTGTATGGCAAACATCGGTCTCTGCTCAAATCAGATATCGGCTTTGCCTTCAAGAACTCATACAATGCTTTGAAGTCCTGAAGTTCCACACTTTCTCGGGCCTGCCTCATCATGTTCTCATCAGTCAAATCGTCGCGAAGACACCAGCGTGGCACGCACCCGAAATTTTGAATGAGATCATCGCTGGCGTCGGGTGCCACCGCCTTGATTTCCTCATAGCTCCACATGTGCATGACCAGAATGCGTCCAAGCTGATGTTCCACAAGCGCCTTGATGAGTTCCTTGTAGTTGCCAACCTTCGTCTCTTGTCCCGACAGCGGTGAGGCAGAGGTTGTCACGAGCATGAAATTGAAATGGAGGCTCTTGTGCAAGCCTGCAATCTGCCGACAAGGGTCAAGCAGTGCCAGTCTCTGGCGGGAAGCATTGCCAAACTATGCACTTCTGGTAGTTTACTGACCACGCCATCCTCATCCATCTCATAAAACACATCTCCAAGATTGAAAATCACCTTTGGAAACTTTGTCTTTGGCAACTTCTCGTCATTGTTCAGCCATTGCCGCATGACATAGAACCTGAAGGCACTCTTGCCAATGCCACTCGCGCCGACTATGATTGCTCCATACTGCTTGTCCTCCTTGGTGCGCATGTTGTTCAGGAGCGTGCGATTTTCTTCACGAAGCAGAAAATTCAACTTGGTTGTCTTCGTGAAAAGCTGGAGCTTCTTCAAGTCCCAGCCCTTGTCGATGTCCAGTTTGAGGACATTCTGTCCATCTACATCCGTCTCCTTTGCATCACGCAGGGCTCTGAAGAAGCTTGTCATGCCCGCGTCAGATTGGAGAGCCTGAAGCGCAAAATCACACCAAAGCTACGTCTTGAAGATTCCACCACGGACACTCTCCCTTCTGCAACCTAGAGCACAAACCCCTAAACCCAGCTAAGCACCCCAATCAACAAATCCAATCCAGAAACACTACGAGGCAAACAAACCTCGGGGAAATAAACAACTACGCTACAACCAAAAAACCACCCCCTAAACCCAATAGGGTTGTTGTAAAAAGCTGTCAAAGCAACCACCCCAATTACAAACAAATGACCCACTCAAGCAAACATACCTAAGAACCAGAGAGGAACGAAACAACCAAACCTAGAAAAGGGAGTGAAACAAACATCTTGATTGTGTTGAAGCCAAGGCGCGGAATGTGGTTGGTGCTGTTGCGAAATGCCGTATTTCAAACACAAGGCTATGTCCTCTCGCTGCTGTTCATCAGGAACTGTCGACTTCAGAAGTGACAAAAAGTCCTCAAGTGAAGCAGTGCTCAAATGCTGTGCATTTTTTTCCAGCGAAGGTGGTTGCCACCTTGTTCTTCATATCGTCACCCACATCCACTTCATGCAGGATTCTGTACACCCACGCATGCTCGAGCTTCGGCTTTTTCACGGGAGGCTCTGCCATTGCATCAAACAAAGCTGCACCGAATTCACAGGAAGTGTTCTTCAACAAATGTGAAGCTCCAGCTGACTATCATACCAACAAACTTGTGATGAAACAAACGCCATAGCAAACTACTGGCGAACTTGAACCATTGGTGTTTAGCTCTAACACGCACATGTCTACATTTCGTTGCACCTGCGCCCACAAGGAAAACCTTGCACCCCTGCAAGAAAAAACCTTTCACATCTGCAAGAAACACCTTGCACCCCTGCAAGAAAAACCTTGCACGCCTGCATGAAAATTCTTGCCCTCCTCCAAGAAAAACCTTGCACCCTTGCAAGGACAACCTTGCGCAAATAGGGGCGATTCATCCCTTCAACAGAATAGTAGTCTTGACCCAATTTCTTTTCAACCCTGGAAACCTTGTATTTGACACTGCTCCAATTGCTCGTTCTCTCCTTCTCGGAGATCCCTTTCTTACGATATATTTTCACCTCATCTCTCATCTCAAGCTTCATCTTGGCATCAAAATGGTGTCCCTTTTTGTGGGCATCATTTGGAGTCATGTCATGTGCAGAATGGATCATGTTACTGTTATATGTTAGCATGATCTCGGGGATATAATCAACCCATTGTATATTACCCATTCCCTTTTTCTTATCTGCATCAACCCTTTTAAACAGCATGTCCTTGAACGTGCGAATGAAACGCTCGGCGAACTGGGTGTGTCCGCGTGTTGTATAGTTTTGGATCCCTTCGTCCTTGAAAAAATCAACAAGATCTTGGGTATTGAGACCCCCCTCATCATCCGAATAAATTAATTTGGGCTTCCCTCCCATTTTGTTTAAACCCTCCATGATCCCAGCGGTGATGTCGGCAGGTTGCTTGGATGCAATGGGCACCACCACGGCTTTGCGGGAAAGTACATCACATGCCAAAAGAAGCAAATTACCTCACTCCTCCAAAAGGCAAATGGCATGCCACATCCAGATGATGCCCGGGCGTGAAAACACCCAGCACCATTCAATCTTTCCACGCTTCCATGCCCGTCAAGACAGCCTTAAAAGGTGTCGAAGATGGAAGGAGGCAAGACCGCCAAGCGAGCTTGTTGCTGGGAGGGCAAACGAAGGGAAGGGATTTGAGCAAGTCCGTCTTCAATATACAACCGGGCAACAGACAGGCTGCGCCAGCGTCCCCGCAAAAGAACCTTCTCCATATGCCCTGTCAAATGATACAAGTGGGTTGCCCCGCCCCTTCTTAAAGAGTATGGTTTGTACCCTAAGCCATTGAGCTGCAGTTCCTGACAAAGCTGGGCAAAATGGGCACGAAAACGCTGGTGGGGAAAGGGCCAAAGCTTGGTGAGCGGGGTACACATCGAGAAGGGTGCGTAAAAGGAGTAACACGCTTGGGTCAGAGATCGCCACAACTTCCTGCGCATTGCGTCTGCGGCCCATTTTGGTGTCAACCAAGGCAACAATGCCGCAAGATTCAGAAATTTGTACATGTCTGTATTGTAAGTTCAGAAGTTCCCCGGTACGCAGAAGGCAATGAAAGCCTAAACCAAGCAAAGCCGCCTCACGCAGCCAGTTCCAGTCCAAGCACAGCCCTATCATAGCCATGACCAAGGCTTTCTGAAGGGGCGGGGCGCGTGAGGGGCCAGACCTTAAATATTCGCCAAGAGCCACGCAAGTGACCTTTAAGCCAGGGAGAAAAGAAATGAAGGCCCGACAAAGCGTCGCCGATAGTTTGCAAAGAGGTACCCCGAGCCCATTCCAATTCAATCCACTCACTGACACAGTCGTCTGCTTCTTCCAAAGAAGTAGCAGCCAAAACGTGGTCTACAACCAATGTCACGGCTGACCGATATCTGAGCAAAGTTTTGGGCGCCACGGCAAGTTGCTTGAGACTCACCCCAGCCCTTTGGCGGCGCCGGGCTCTTCTGGCTTTGGCTGCCAGGAACTTACCGGCGACTAGCGGCATCAGTTGGATTTTCCATGCTGTCTACATGCGCAACCAAAAGTGTAGAAGACATAGCCAGCGGTAGGCCAGCGATTCCTTTGAGGATTGGAGCCAAAACGCGGCTGCTAGTTCTTCCTTTACAAATGATATGAAGGCACACCAAAGAGTCAGTCAAATGAAGGAGTCGTTTGTTGAAGTTTGCTGGGTTGCGAGAGCAAGAAAATCCAAGGCCAAATGAACCGATCTCAACTCCAAGGAATTTATATGGGCTGAAAGCTGCCATTTGGTGTTGTACAACTGTCTCCACTTCCACCACCGGGCTCTGGCTGAGCTATGGTGAGGTGTCTTTTTGGCCAACACCTGCCCAGTGGAAATGTTCACGTCGGCCCCTGTGTGATTTACCTGTCGCCCTAGCCATTGAACCAA